TGGAGGTCATCTAGTCCAACCCCCCCCCCCCACCCAAGCAGGAGACTCTACACCATTTTTAACAAATGAAAGTCCAGTCTCTTGAAAGCCTCCAGGGATGAAGCACCCACAACTTTTGAAGGCAACTTCTGTTCCATGGGTGGATTGTTCTCAACTGTCAGGAAATTTCTTCTTAATTTTAGGTTGCTTCTCTCCTTGATTAGTTTCCATCCATTCTTCCTTGTCTGGCCTTCGGAATAGTTTTGACTCCCTCTTCTTTGGGGCAGCCCCTCAAATACTGGAAGATTGCTGTCATGTCCCCCTTAGTCCTTCTTTTCTCTAAACGAGCCAAATCCCAATCCTGCAACCGTTCTTCTTCGTATGTTTTACTCTCCAGCCCTTTCATCCTGGGTAAGTTGCTCTTCTTTGCAGTTTTTCCAAAGTCTCAACATCTTTCTTGTAATGCGCTTGATTAAAACTGGACGCCGGATTCCAGGTGTTTCCATCACTCTCTCCTTGTGACAACACAGCCTCATTGGTGCCTGTGGTCATTTGAGCGATGCCATTACTGGCCCCGTTATACTGGGACCTCATTGGCACGACAGCAAAATGGCACACGCAACCTCTTTCACGATGCTTAAATTCAAAGGAACGAAGGGATTGAGGAAGCGATCTTAATAAATGCAAGTGTAATGGATGTGCCTCTTGAGAAACAGATAAAGAGTTACTCTAACTTCTTTCCTGGATTGGGGGTTTCCATCCATTTTTTTTTTTTAATCTTGCCTTCTGGTGTTTTGGAAAATAAAAGTGGAACCCTTCTTCTTTGTGGCAGTTTCAACGTTTCAGGGGCTGCCCCAAAGAAGGGGGTCCAACTTATTCTCCAAAGCAGTGGTCACGCACTGAATGGTCTGCGAGAAAATTTTGGTGGTCTGCAGAGAAATGGTCCCCCCAAAAGCAATTAATCCAGGCTGCGTGGGAACACAAGGCTGCGCCGCCCACATGGACTGTGGGAACGCAAGGCTTGCGTCGCTTGCATTGCAAACAATATGAGGTAGTGAGGGGAAGGGGAAAAGGGTGGAGGGGGGTACTTGCCTCATGCGTCCCACACGCCTGGCCTGGCCACCGGGCTGCTTCTTTCTGCTTCTTTCTTCTTCTTCTTTTGGCTGCACGCAAGGAAAGCAGCCAAAGTCTTTCTTTCTCTCCCCCAAACTCCGCCAAAAATGAGTCTTTGGGACCCTGCAAGGCCTCCTGCTCCAAGAGGCTGCGCCGGCAAAGACTAATTTCTGGCGGAGTTTGGGGGAGAGAAAGAAAGACTTCTGCGGCTTCTGCTGCTTTCCTTGCATGAAGCCAAAAGTCTCTCCCTCCCTCTGAGAACGGAGCTGGAGACGGTATCCTGCGATCCCAAATAAAGAACGATCGATCGGTAGGAAAACAAGGTGGGGGATTTTCCTGCTGACATTTTTGGGGATTTTCCCAGTCTCTGGTTCGCGGGATTTAAAATGATGAGCTTGGTGGTCCCTGAGGTCCAAAAGGTTGGCGACCTCTGGACTAGATGACCTCCAAGGTCTCTTCCGAGTCTATAATACCATTACTGATAGGACTAGTCCCTTCTGGGCCTCTTTTTCTGCCATTATACAACTGAGGGCTCAGCTCTTATCTGACTGTTCTCTTCCCACCGTCCCCCAAGGTCTTTCCAACACACCATTATAATCAGTGGTGGGATTCAATCTATTCGCACCACTTCGGCTGAACCGGTGGTTAAACTGCTGGCTCTCGCCTCCCGTCCCCTTTCAGGAGTCCCCCCCACCATGCCCGTTTTTGCACCCAGGAGGCTGCAGGGAAGCCTACTGGGCCCAAAACAGGCTGTGTGTGTGGGGGTGAGGGTGCAGCGTGCCCCCCTGCGGTCCGTTTTTGCTCTGAGAAGGCTGCAGAGGGGCCGACTAGGCCCAAAACAAGGTGCGGGGGTGGTGGTGGAGGGTGCAATGTGCCCACCCCGCCATGGCTTGTTTTGCTCCCAGAAGGCTGCAGAGGCCTACTAGGCCCAAAACAAAGTGCGAGGGGGAAGGTGTGGCATGCCCCCCCCCGGCTGATTTTTGCCCCCAGGCTACAGGGAGATTCACAAGGCCCAAAACAGGGCGCCGGGGAAGCGTGGCTCCCTTGTGGCCCGTTTTTGCTCCTAGGAGTCTGCAGAGAGGCCTACTAGGCCCAAAATGGGGTGCGGTGGGGGAAGGGTGCAGTGTGCCCCCCTCCACGGCCTGTTTTTGCTGCCAGGCGGCTTCAGGGAGACCCATAGGTCCAAAGTGTGCGCACTGTGGACCCCCCCCATCCCGGCCTGGTTTTGCTCCCAGGAGGCTGCAGGGAAGCCTACTAGGCCCAAAAACAGGGTGCTGGGGTGTGTGTGTGTGTGTGAGGGTGTGATGTGCCCTCACCCCCACAGCCTGCTTTTGCTCCCAGGAGGCTACAGGGAGGCCTATTAGGCCCAAAACACGTGTATGTGTGTGTGCACACGCCCATGCGACAGTCCTCCTCATGGCCCATTTTGCCCCCAGGAGGCTTCAAGGAGGCTTATTAGGCCCAAAACGTGTGTGTGTGCGTGTGTGCGTGTGCGCCACAGTCCTCCTCATGGCCCATTTTTGCTCCCAGGAGGCTTCAGGGAGGCCTACTAGGCCCAAAACACATGTGCGTGTGTGTGTGTACACGCATGTGACACAGTCCTCCTCATGGCCCATTTTTCCTCCCAGGAGCTTTCAGGGAGGCTTATTAGGCCCAAAACGTACGTGTGTGTGTGTGTGTGTGTGTGTGTGTGTGTGTATGCGCACACGCATGTGACACAGTCCTCCTCATGGCCCATTTTTCCTCCCAGGAGCTTTCAGGGAGGCTTATTAGGCCCAAAATGGGGCACGGGGGGTGGCAGTGTCCCCCCTGCAGCCCGTTTTTTGCTCGGGCGGGGGGTGCAGGAGGCCGAGTGCTGCCTGTCACCCCCCCCCCCCCCCCCCCCCCCCCCCCCCGCCCACCCTTAGGGCAGAGAGTTATAAATTATTTAAACCCCCCCCCCGATGCCCCCACGTCGTCTTGGTCCTCCCCCCCCCCCAAGGGTCTCCCTCCCTCTTTCCAAGGATTCAATGCACCCCCAATTCCCCGGAGACGAAAATGCATCCCTTTTCTCCAAAATAGAACCGAGTATTTATATATATATATTAATGTTAACACTTCTCTTTACAAAAGGAATCCAGCAGCGAGGAGGTCGAGCCGAAGCCGGAGGGCGCAAGCCCCCTCGGAGCCTGGCTCTCTCTGCAAGAGAGGGGAGCGGGCTGCAGTCCCCGGCTGAGAGGGGAGGCAGGGGGGGACCCTGCTGGCTGTTCACAGCAGTCCTAGCTCCAGGGTGGCCTCTCTGGAATCCATCGTCCACAGCCTCGAAAGCGACTCTTGGTCCAATAGGGTTGGGAAGACAATTCTGGGCATTCCCCCCCACGCCGCCCAGGGGTCAATTGCTTGAGAAGATGAATGCTGTTCACCGCCTGCAAGGATGAAAAGCATGAAAAAAATTAACTTAAATCGTTTTCTTTCTCCCTCTCTTTCATTCTCCTTCCTTCCTTCCTTCTTTCCTCCCTCCCTTTCTTTATCTTTCCCTTTTTTCTTCCTTTCTCCTTGCCCTCTTTCATTTTCCTTCTCTTTCCTTCCTTTCTCCCTTTTATTTTTCTTCTTCCCTCCCTTTTTTTTCCTCCCTTCTTTCCTTTCTTTCTCCCTTTTCTTTTCTTCCCTCCCTCCCTTTCTCTCTTTTCTTTTCCCTCCCTTTTCTTTTTTCTCTTTCCTTTCCTTTCTCCTTCCCTTTTCTTTCTTTCATTTCCCTTCCTTCTTTCCTTTGTCCTTCCTTTTCTCTTTCCTTCTTTTTAACTTTATCCTTCCTTCCTTTCCTTCTTCTTCCTTTCCTCCCTCCTTCTTTTCATAGATAGATAGATAGATAGATCGATCTTTGGTTATTCGGGTTTTCTCCCGCGTAAGATTGGAAGTATCTAGGCAACGTTTCGATGAAGTCTCATTCATCATTTACTCTGAGAAGCACAGAGCAGAAGACACAAGCCTGAAGATGATGAATGAGACTTCATCAAAACGTTGCCTAGATACTTCCAATCTTACACGGGAGAAAACCCGAATAACCAAAGATCCACATACTAATACCCGCAAGAACCTCAGAAAACACACACACACACACACATATATATGAAAGCTGTCTATTTATCTATCTCTATTTGATTTTACGGATACTGTGACTGCAGCTAGAACTGTATTTGTGCTACAATGGAAAGGTGAAGAGATCCCAACAGATGAAAATGTGATTTAAAAAAAAATACTAATGCCAACTCATAAAACATTTCTATGCCTGTTTTAGAGTTGCCATGAAGGGGGAGAGAAATTTGAAAGAGCAATGCAGCAAAAAGTGCATTCCATTCTTACCTTGCAAAGATTATAACTAAGCTACTGGAATTCCTGCCGCGCAAAAATCTCTATAATTGGAATAACATGATTGATGACTCTTGGCTGTGGACTGTTTCGGTTGGAGAATATGAATTATGATACACCCAGAGGGGTAGGTGGGAGAAACCAGGGTCAAGAGGGTGACAGTGAATTACGTGTCTCAGAATCGGCTACATACAGAGGGTGGTCATGCCGACAGGTTCGCTCCTAATAAATCCTTTGAAGTTTTTGAAGCTTGGCTGGAGGCTCACGATGTCATTAGGGCAACTGCTGGCATCCTGACAGCTAGCCGATTCTGAGACACGTAAATTTACTGTCACCCTTGACCCTGGTTTACCTTCACACGTCTGGATGTATCATAATTCATATTCTCCAACAAAACACACGAATTAGGGCAACTAGAAACGTGCAGAAATGGACAGGCTAACACTTATGATCAAGGAAAAGGAAAGAAACTAAATACTTTCATTGATTAATCGATCAATTAATTACTTTAATTGATTTATTTTATCAATGGCTAGCTGGAAAAAACAGGAGTGTGGTTAGCCGGCTGCAGGTGCGGACGGCTGAGGAGAGCGAGGGCTCAGATGAGGGGCCAAGACCATTAGGGAGCGGACTGCTGCCTTCAGAGATTGTGGGGGCTGGCAGCAGTGATGAGGAGGTTCCCGAGGAGCCTGTGCCGAGTGCACGTGCGCACAGGGTTGCTCGCAGGAAAGAGCAGCTACAACAGCATGGGTGACTCAGGAGTAAGGCTGCAAGGTAACGGCCCCTCCCTTCAAGAAGATAAAAGCCAGCTGTGAAGCAAACGTTCTTTGCAGAAGGCAAAGACGTTTTGAAACTCCAGCCTCGTGGACATTCCAGTATCCTGAGTTTGTATTTGAAGGTTCATGTATTGCAAATTATTTCTTGTCTGTTATCTTTTGGCAAGTCTCACACAGTTTGGCAAGGCCTGTGCTTATCACAGCTAATTATTCTGCAGAAGCATTAAAAGTTTTCTGATCCCTTTGGATTGTGTTTGAACTGTTGGGAAAGGGCGTAGGTCAGAACAGATACAGGGAAATAGATGGATATGATTAGTGATGTAAGAAAGGCATGTTGAATTGGTTTTAAGAAAATAATATTGTAATTATTATTATTATTGATACTATTACAATTAACATCAACATAATGAATAGTATTGCAAACTTTTTGATTGCTATATCCTGAAAATATTTGTATCCAGACAACACACTCTTCAATTGGAATTTTTATATGCTATATAAAAAAAATCCTTCCCAGATTTTTGGCAAAACTTCTCTTCTGGAAGAGAATGTCCATGGCTGTGCTTTATGGTTGTACTCTTACTTGAGTTGGGAAGCATTGTAGGGGTCCAGCAGGTGAGAACTGGCCTGCTCCAAGTTCCAGTTGAACATCTCCAGAATCTTGTGACATTCCAGCCTCGTCTTCAGGCCCAGGCAAAAGAGCTGCTCCACCTGCAGACAAGGTGAGAAGTGAGAGAGGGTCATCAGCGTGTTTACAGAAAGGACAGGTAGAACGACTCACACGTTAGGAAAGAGATGTGGAGAAAGTGCAGAGAAGAGCAGTTAAGAGGATCGAAGGCCTGGAGAATAAAACATACCAAGAACGGTTGTTGCAGGACCTGGGTATGGCCGGTCTAGAAAAAAGAAAGACTAGGGGGGACATGATGGCAGCATTCCAGTATTTGAGGGTCCACCATAAAGAGGAGGGGGTCAACTTATTTTCCGAAGCCCCCGAGGGCGGGATAAGAAACAATGGATGGAAACTAATCCAGGAGAGAGAAGCAACCTGGAATTAAGAAGAAACTTCCGAACAATGAGGACAATTCACCAGTGGAACTGCTTGCCACCAGAAGTTGTGGCTGCTCCATTCACTGGAGGTTTTTAAGAAGGGACCGGGAGGTCTGTTAGATATAACATAGGTCACCTAACGTAGTTTGGGTAAAATAATATATATAAGCTATGATTGTTAGTTTAAGTGTGTGTCACTTTAACTGCAAAGCATGTAATTTTGGGTGTGGTGTGAAACCACCATAAAAGGGAGCAAGACAACCCTGACTGATTGCTGATGTGACGCTGACAGTTTGCTGGCAATTACTGGATTGGATTATGTGCATGGTTTGTTAGCCACGTATTTCCCTACTGAAGAGTTGCTGATAAGAAGAGAGGAGTTTCTGAGTTCTGCATATCTCTCTACTGCGAGGAGATATATCACCGGATTGATATTTGCAAGTGTACTGACCTCTCTTTTTCGACACTGGAATTTGCAAATGAATAATCCCTGGACGGACTGAACTAAGTGAATGATATATGGACTGTTTTGACTATGCTTTAACTCTTGCTGGAATAAAACTATTTAATTGGCACTGTGTGTCTGGTTTACTGAGTGTAAGCTACAAAAACACTTATCTCACGTATTTTGCCTGCCTGCCTGCCCTGCAGATCTTGCTAGGGTGTATCCCTAACAAGGTCACCTATCTGAAATGGTCTAGGGTCTCCTGCTTGGGCAGGGGGATGGACTAGATGGCCTCCAGGGTCCCTTCTTCCAGCTCTATTCTGATTGAGATGGTTGAGGAAGAGGCCAGGTTAGCAGAGCAACCTCCCGGTGGTGCAGAGCGGCAACCTGCCATTGGTGCGAAGGGACAAAGAACCGTAGGGTTGGGAGGGACTTCAGAGGTCTTCTAGTCCAACCCCTTGCTCAAGCAGGAGACCCTATATGCCATTCCCCTGCACAGATGGTTGTCCACTTTTGAAAACCTCCAGGGACGGAGCAGCCACAACTTCTGGTGGCAAGCAGTTCCACTGGTGAATTGTCCTCACGGTTAGGAAATTCCTCCTTGGTTCCAAGGTTGGGTCTCCCTTCTGAAGAGCTTCCATCCAAGTTGCTTCTTGTCCTGCATTCAAACTGCAGTTTTTAAAATGACTTTTTTTTTTTTTTTAAACACCAGGAACTGCCATTTACTTTCCTGGCAAAAAGAAAAAAAAAACACACACATTGGATTAATGAGCAGGGCGTTTCCTTAACGAACACACACATTCTTGCTGAAGGATCGTAGTGATTTGCTTAATGGCCTGTCGCAAAAAGAAGGGCCTGCTTAAAATTTCATGAGCCGACTAGGGAACATCACCTGCGCTAGAAGGAAATGTATAAAAAAAAATAGAGAAAGCAACATTTTTTTTTAGCATTGATGAGGTTCCCTAGTCGGGTCATGAAAGGTCTGCAGGAAAACAAACAAGCTCAGAGAGCACCAGACCCTTCCTTCCCTTCTCCTCTTCAAACCCCACTCCCTCCTAACACTGATGCTGTTATCTAGTTGGGTCCTGAAATGTCTGCAAGAGAACAACCAAGCTCAAAGAGCACCAAAGACTCTACAGCCATTTCCTTCCTTCCTTTCCTTCCTTCCTTCCTTCCTTCTCCAACCTCTTGCCCTCCTAAACACTGATGATAGCTAATTAGGTCATGAAATGTTTGCAAGAAAACCACCACGCTCAGAGAGCACCAAGGACTCCACAGTCCTTCCTTCTCCTCCAACCCCTTTCCCTCCTAACACTGATGATGTTAACTAGCTGGGTTACAAAACGTCTGCAAGAAAACCACTCAGCTCAGAGAGAACCAAGGATGGAGAAGGCTGGTCCGAAACTCCAGGATCCAAAGGAATCTGGCTTTGGTTTCCAACTGGATTTGTTGTGGGTTGGGGCCACCCCCATCCTCTTCCTCGTGCCAGGAGGAGAATTGCTCCCTGCAGATGTTTTTACCTTCAGATACTGGACAGCCTTTTGCACGTTCCAGTTGTGATTCTGTAGGGCGGCTTTACACTCTTCGGTGGTGACACCGTGCACAGTATCCTGGACCTGCAATCGGAGCAAAGATTATGCAAATTATGTTGACAGTTGTGTCACTCAGAAGAAGGTCCCAACACTTCCACCCCGCTGTATTCTGGTCCCAAATGGATTTAATCCCCATTCATTTTGAATGTTGAGTTACTTTTGCTCTTATGATGCTGCAAGCCAACCAGAATGACAGTGATACGATCAGTAAATAATTTTAAAATATCTATCTATATAAAAACTTGTGTGTGTGTATGTGTGTGTTCCAGCATAACATTGGAGCAATAGCAACCAAACTTGGTACACAGTTTATTTACTCTCTGGAAACGAATACTGTGGGGGTTAAGACACCCTTAACACCCTTTGGAGTGTGTGCTCTTAAAGACAGAGCCTGTTGTGCCTCCAAATGGCTTCTACTGTACTGCCTTAAAATGGCTTCTACTGTACTGCCTTAAAATGGCTTCTACTGTACACCGCTGTGGAGTTGCCATGGTAACAGCTTCACATTACTCCACAAGGGGGCTCCCTCTCAGCCCTCCAAGGAAACCCCAGGCGATTGGCCAAGTGCAATCAAATGCTATAAGAATGAAACACCAGCGTAGACAAGAAACTCTTGAGGAATAGCAGAGTACAAGAGCATGAGTCGCGACTACAGCAGTGGAGTTATATTGTATATAAGCAGAGCGCAACTCCCCTCCCTTCTAGCCTTGATGATGTTCCCTAGTCGGGTCATGAAACATCTGCAAGAAAACTACCCAGCTCAGGGAACACCAAGGACAACCCCGCCTCCCCATGTCAGCCTCCATTAAGGTATTGAGGTTTAAGAGCTGACCAGTTGCTATAAGGCTGATGCGATGTAAGACTAATGCAATGAGGATGAATCAGCACTGGTATTGCCTTTTTAAGAGTATGTATGGGTCCACAGAACCCTTTACCTCTTTAAGAGGTGTCTATATAAAGGTAGCCGTTAGAGGGTGTGTTTTTTTCTCTTCTCCTGTATCCATTACAGAGTTCTCTGTGTAGTGTTAAGAAGATTGATTGCATGTCAGGTATTTGCCTACCATGTATATTTCTGTATATGTCTTGTATATAAACCACTGGTAAATGTCTACGTCTCGGTGTGCTGTGTTTTGCTCCTGGGTTATCTCACAGTAGTAGTCACGCCGCAAATGGTGAGGCAGCTCCGGCCAAAAAGCACCACTTACCAGCCGTATCTTTTCCGAACTCCGGGGGCCCTCCGAACTATCGTAGATGATCTTCTGGAGACCGCAGGTGGCCTTGACGGCGCTGTTGCTGTTGTTGGACGAGAAGTTGGCCTTGTAGTCTGGCGGCTGCTGGATCATGGGCCGCACCGTTGCCGTGGTGACCGCTCGGCTGGGCGCCACCACGCTGTCCTCCTGGCTCTTCGCCTCCTTGAAGAACTTTTCGTACTTGTCCAGGTACGGCGGACGCTCGGGAAGGAGATAGTAGTGGGTGCTGCTGACTTTGCGTCCGTCCTTCACGATGGGCAGGATGCAGGGGCCCTTGACGCTCTCCTTCCCCTGGGCCTGGATGACCTTGGGGGTGGCATATTTGGGGTCCAAGGCGAAACTCTGGGTGGTGGGCATGGGCTGCTTCCCGGGGGAGGTGGAGAGGAAGGCCCCCAGAGAAAGCGGGGAGCAGAGGTTGGTCCTCGGCTGGGGAGATCCGCCGTGGAGGGCCCTCGGGCTGGGAGTTCTGGATCCCGGTTGGGACAACCGATCTCGCGGAGGGATCTGGGGCGGGCGGGCTTCCTCCCCGACTCCTCCTCCGGAAGCGGGCGAGAGGTCCCCGGACCACCGGCTGGGCTCGTTCCGGCGGAACGGGAGGGGCAGGATGGGCACGCGGGGCGGGATTTGCGGCTTGTCATCCCCTGGACTGGTGATGGCGGCCACGGAAGGTCCCCCCAAGGGGACATTGAGGTGCTTCATGCATTCCTGCTGGAGTTCTTGGAAGATCTCCGTGGTTTGAGCCGGGCTGGGTTGCTTGTTCTCCTTGGGGGGCAGGAAGAGGTTGTCCTCCAAGGGGAGAGCCGGGCGGTCTCCTTCGGGGGCGAAGCCGCCGTTGAGCTCCCCTTTGTCCCAGGCTCGGCCCCGCGCCTGTCCCACCAGCCCTTCGGTGCTGTTGATGGAAGAGACCTCAAAGTCGTCCTCGTCTTGGGCCACGTCGTCGTAGGCCGGCGGGGGAGGCAGAGGCCGGGCGTCCCAGTCCACGATGGGCGTGGGGTGCAAGGGGCGGGGCAGCGCTTGGGTGGGGCTCTGAGGAGGGGTCTTGTCCAACAAGGAGAAGGCCTCCATGGCCAGGCGGGCCAAGGAGGGGGCGCAGAAGTCCCCGACGGGAGACGGGCTGGCGGGAAGGAGCTCGTCCCCAAAGTCTATGAGGGTCACCTCGTTCGCGACGGGGCCGCCCCCTCTGGAACGGGGCAGCAGCAACCGCTCGCCCACCTTGGTGCCGGAGACGCAAGCGGAGGGCTTGGGGACCTGCAGGCCTCCTCGGACCCCCGAACCGGCTTTCTTTTTCAGGCAAAGTTGCTTGAGGCTGATCGCCAGGGGGGGCTCTTCCTCGTTCACTGGGTCGTACAAGGGCTCTGAAAGACAAAAGGCAGGCTGTGGTTTGTTTGTTCTTTCTTTCTTTCTTTCTTTCTTTCTTTCTTTCTTTCTTTCTTTCTTTCTTTTCTTTCTTTCTTTTCTCTCTCCCCTTGCCTTCCTTTTCATTTGATTCTTTTTTCTTTCTTGTCCTTTCTTACTCTTTCCTTTTTCTTTCTTTTCCCTTCCTTCTTATTCTTTCTTTCCTTTCCTTCCTTTTTCTTTCTTTCTTTCCTTTCCTCTCCTTCCTTCTTTTGCTTTTTCTTACTCTTTCCTTTCCTTACTTTTTCTCCTTTTCTTCCATCCTTTTTTATCTTCCTTCGTTCGTTCATTCCTTCCTTCCCCCATCCCTCCCTTCATTCTTATCCTACTTTTATTACTTTATACTTTTATTTCTCAAGGTAGGGAATGCACCTCATATTCCTTCTTACTCCTCTTTTCCCCACAACAATCTTGCAAGATGGGTTAGTCACCCCCCCCCCCCCCCCCCCCCTGGCCAAAGCCATCGATCTGGCTTTCAGGCCTAAAGTGGGACTAGAACTCCCCGTCTCCTGGTGATTGAAAGTCACCAACCTGTCTTTCACGCCTAAGGCGGGACCGGAATTCTTTGTCTCCTGGTTTCAGTCAGAAGTAGCCCTTGTTCAGTCCTGCCGTAATTTCGAATGGCTACTGAACGAGTGGTTGTTAAGCGAGGACTCCCTGTACTCTTAGCAGAACAGCCCAGGGGGAAGGTGCACCTGGCCACCCCTGGTGAATTTAGGAAGGACAGACTTCCTCCATCAAGGGAGACCACCTGTTTGTCTGGGCCTCTATGATTCTCTCCAAGATCTTCATAAAAGTCCACACACACACACACACACCCATTTTTAGTGGTCAAGACCAGGTTAACGGGGGATAGGCAGTGGTCATAGCATGCCCCACCCCCCCCACACCTCAGGCAGAAGGAATGACCTGTAGAGACAGGAGGAGGGAAAGCCACCACCAAATCAACCATCAGATAAAAGAAACCTGAGTCCGGGCCAGAACTGTAATCGGAGAAAGAGTCTCAAATAAGCCTCTCCCCATTTCTCACGCAGATAAACGGAGGAAAGGGGGAGAAATGCATTCAAGAGTGTTACTATCACCTTATATCAGGGGTGGGAGTCAACTGGTGTTAACAACCAGTTTGGTGAGCCCATAGGGGCGGGTAGGCCCCGGGGGCCAAACAATCACCGGAACAACCGGTTCGCTTGAATCGGTCTGAATCAGTAGAATCCCACCTCTGGCCTTATATGAAAAATAGCCTCGTGGTCTACCTCGAAGGGCTGACTAGACCTATCCAGAAAGGAACAAAGAGAAGAAAAACACAAGAGGCATAACAGCTGGAAACAGGGCCCCACTTACGCTTGAGAAGGATCGAAGGCTGGGGCGGCCGAGGTGGCGGCTGTCCTGCAGGAGCGAGAGAGAAGAGAGAGAGGAAGAGAAGAGAAGAGAGAGAGACCGCAGCGAAAGGGAAAGAAAGATAGCAGTGCGTTAGTTGGTGGCTTCATGCGAGGCGGGAGGAGCAGAGGGAGGCGGTGCACAAGCGGTAAATTGATAGGGCCAGGAATGACCCCCTACGGCAGTGATGGAGAACCTGTTTGTTGTCGGTGTACCGAAAGCACTTGTGCATGCACTTTCGTGCGCGCATGTGCCCCGCCCCGCTGCGCATGCACGCTCAACACTGAGCCCTCCGCCCTCTTACCCGCATTGCAAACGCACGCACCTTCCCAGTTGATTTTCAGCCCGCTTGAGGCCGTTTTTGCGCTCCCAGAGGCTTGGGAGGCCGAAAACTGGGCCCATTTTGGCACTTCCGGAAGGCCCGTTTTTCGGCCTCCTGAGGCTGCAGAGGCTTCCCCCTTGAGCCTCGAGGAGGGCGAAAATGGCCTCAAATGGACGGAAAATCAGCTGGGAGGCGCGTGCATGTGCAGTGCAGGTAAGTTTGGCTGGGGCTCACGTGTCCACACCAATGGCTCTGCGTGACACGCGTGACATAGGTTCACCATCACAGCTCTAAGGGGTCAGGGAGAGGTCTCACCCCCTAAAGGGCTCTCCAAATGGCCTGCTTTTTGGTGGTTTTCTGGGCCATTTTCAGGCTGTTTTGGGGGCTATTTTCAGGCTGTTTACAGGCTGTTTTTTCATGCCCAAAATGGCCTGGAAAACAGACTGAAAACTGCCCTAACACAGGCATAGTAGCGCCTGAAAAATGGCCTGGAAAAGGCCCCAAAGTAGCCAAAAAACAGGCCAAAATTCGGACCATTTTTCATGTCAAAAATGGCCCAGGAAACAGCCTGAAGATGGCCTCCCAAAAAGACTGAAAGTGACCCCCAAAAGGCCTGAAATGGCCAAAAACCAGGCCTATTTTCAGGCTGTTTTTCATGCCCAAAATGGCCCGGGAAACAGCCTGAAAATGCCCCCAAACCAGGCCATTTTTCGGGCCTTTTTTCTGGCACTCCGATACCTAAGAAAACCAGCTGGCTGGTGCGCATACACCAGAAACCAGGTGAGGAGCTTTTATAAAGGTGCTGGGGAAAAGCCTGGTCCTCGCACTTACGGCCGTTCCTCACACTTACGACCGCCGGGCCACCCACATGGTTTGGATGCTTGGCAACTGGCTCCCATTTTACAGCCAACTGTCCCGCGGTTACATTTCGAGAATTTTTCTGGCCCGTTTTCCAGCAACGAAAACAGCCCTTCGGTACAATGGGTTCGGACTTACGACTTCTGAGTTTCGACTTTAGGACGACAGGAACAAAAAATGGTGGCAGAACCGGGTTCGAACCGACTTACGGCCGCAAGTACTTTATGACGGAAATGCCTGTCCCAACTGTGTTGGCCCGTTAAGTTGAGAATTATTTGCATGGGAATCTTTTGAAATGGGGTTTTGCAAGAAGGCCCTGAAAGCGGAAGGAACCGCAAGTGAGGGAGAATAAGGAAACACACCGAAATGCCCAGGAACCCGTTGCAAAGATTTTGCCTGAGAAAATAGCCCTCGCTCCAATGGTTAGATGTGCTGGCACTACAACTTCCATGGTTCCCATCCATCCAGGAGGAGAGGGCCGGCCCAAGAAGCACGGTTGGTGCAGGCTCCACATTTTAAATCTGCCTTAGAGTATCCGATGCTCCCTGAGCTTGGATTTTTTTTTTCCCTGACAGACGTTTCATTATCCAACCAGGTAACATCATCAGTGCTAGGAGGAGGAAGGGTTTGCAGGGAGGAGGAAAAGGGGACCTTGGTACTCTCTTTCTGAGCTTGGTGGTTTTCTAGCAGACGTTTCATTATCCAACTAGGTAACATCCTCAGTGCTAGAAGGAGGAAAGGTTTGCAGAAAGGAAGAGGAGGA